TATACAAATAAGATTTTTTAAGCTCCTACTTATTTTCGAAATACGCTATTTTTTTTTAATTCTGAAACCCCTCAGTATATTAAACTAAAATATAAGCCAATAAAGCATTATAAAATTGGATTTGAGATTAAAAATAAATGAATTGATTAGTGTTATCAAATTAAACTTGTAAAATGAGAGTGATATGAGAAGTAAGACATTTCTATTTTTCTTACATCATAACTCTTTTCCTTACATAAGTTTTATTAGTTTTCCTTTTGTAAACAATTTTCGTAAGTCAGAAAATATAGTGCGGGACAATATTGAAAATTTTGTTTGCTGTATTTTTTTATTTATTTATAACTACATGATAATTTATAACTACATGATAATTTATAACTACATGCTAATTTATAACTACATGATAATTATTTATATAATGTATGAGTTGTTTGATAGGCAATTTCCAGCAAAGACTAAGGTAATCTCAATAAGCGAAGAATTTTTTTGACAACAGTAATATAAATACAGTATATCTCTTTGTAAAAATTTTAATGCTAAAGATAATAAACCATGAGTACAATATAAGAAATAAATTGATTAAGTTTATTAAACTAAAATTACATTGATGGTAAATAATTATTAGAAAAATGAACAATAAAATTATAAAATTTATAAAATTTATAAAATCAATGAACAGGATACAAATATTTTACACTAATTATACTTCATATCGATAACTTGCGTATTTGAATTATTAGGGATATTATTATTAATAATTGCCATCTCATTAGAAAAGTTGGCATTATTAATGTAGTTAGAGTTATCACTATAATTGGCATTATTATTAAAGTTTTTAAGATTCACGCCAACAGTATTTTTGGTAAGATCAGAGAGGGCATCATTAATTTCAAGAATAATTAAAGCATTATCGGCAAATAAGTTTGCGAACCTAACACTAATAGAAAAGCCACGATACTTTAGCTTTTCCTTGTTTATATGGCCATTTCCATAAGCTCTTCCATCCAAATCATTAACGTAATTTTCATAGGACCGAACCCACCAGAATTTCCAATTAGCAGTTGGATTTTCATGTTGGTTATATTGAGTAAAGAGTTCGTTTAGGAGAGTAGTAAGTGTTATTGCGCGTTCAGCGGCATTTTTTTCGATCATATATTTGGCGAAAAAGAATAAAATTCCGGAAATACCAAAACCTATAGGTAAACCAAGAATATCTTTCATAATTACAACGAAGATAATCGATAATAAAGTAGCACCGATTGAGCCGATCCAATACAATAATTTTTTTGTTTTATGGGTCATTAGTTCAACATTTTGGACATGAGTATTGATTTGGTTGAGTCGTGCATAGAACTCTTCGCGAGATAAAAAACCGTGAAGGTCAAGGCACCAGTCCGCTCTGAACGAATGACCAGGTTGACAATCACAACAAGTGTCAGATCCGTGTACAAAGAGAGGAATTAAAACTTTTTTCATTGTATAAGATGGATGGCTTAATTTAGTGATGAAAGTTTAAGTATAATAAGTAGGTTAAAAATGAGAGAAATTATTTAATTTAGGAATGAGAGTTTAAGTGAAATATGTCTAAAGTAAGAGAAATTAAGCAATTTAAAGGTTTTTTTGTTTAATTCATGATAGACAATTAAATTTCGGTGATAAAGTCGTATTAAACTCCATTCTTCGATATACAGTAGTAATGTTACTCATTTCCGATATAGTAATGTTACTCAATTTGTTTTATTTCGTTCATATGCATTTATTGAATTTTGAAACTTTGTGAAATTGATTACGCAGCTTCTAAAAGCTGTGACCAATTAGAAAACGAATGGAATAATTGAAATAATTGAAATAATTGATGCATTTGCTTCTTCAATTCTTTATTTTTCAAACAATTTAACATATACGAAACTTTCTTTATGATTATGCCTTTTTTATCATTTTATATATTAAGTTAGTCCTTATTTAGTTAGGGCTAATTTATGTATTTGTTTTTAGAATGATTTACGTACATAAAATAAACCAATAAATTTCATGAATTCCATGAATACGGATTTCCTTGATGATATGGTGATATGCTAGTGTAACAAACACATTTGTTTCAGTTTCAGTTAAATTAATGACTTGTCTTTTTTCCTTTATTTCCTTTTTTTTCTTTTTTCCTTTTTTTCCTTTTTTTCCTTTTTTATTTTTAATTTTTGGCAATACTGTATGTTATGTTAAACCATTTATTTTATTTATTGAAAATATCGCACACTTATCGTAGTAATATTGACAACAAATTTTTATCATTAGAAAAAAGAAACAAGAATTAAAATCAGCAAGCGTTTTATATGAAATAAAAGATTAAATAAGTATCATGTTTATGCATATTTGTGAATTCATAATGTCTTACTACTACGTATTACATTGTACGTTCATGCATAGGCATGTACTATAATACAGTAATAGATAATGCTAAGAAGTTTTCAAAGTTCTATTAAAGTTCCATTTATCTCAAAGGCATCATATGCATATTACAGCCTACGTGCATACGTACGTATATAGCAAAAATAATGGTGCTACGTACATATTCTTATTTTTTGAAAAAAACGCATTATCGTGAAACTTTCATTCATTGTACGTACGTACGTACGTACGTAGAATTTGAACAGAAGTTATTTACTAAAAAAAAAATCAATTTATCTAAAATTTATCAAACCTATTATTGATTTTTTCTATAATTATATGAA